GCATTGGATTGTAAAAAACATTGTGTAGCTTTATTTATTGACCTCTCTAAGGCTTTTGATACTGTGGATCATGTATTACTGATTAACTCGTTGTTAAGGATTGGTTTGTCGGAGGGAGCGATCCCTTGGTTTAGGAATTATCTTTCAAATAGGAGGCAAGCTGTCCAATTGGGAGGTTCTTCCTCGTCTTTTTTAGAAATATTAAAAGGGGTGCCGCAAGGCTCGGTCCTTGGACCAATTTTATTTTCTATTTATATTAACAATGTGTGTGATAATCTTACAAATGCTATGTATCACTTTTATGCGGATGACACAGTAATTTATTGTTGCTCTTCTACACTTGCCCAGGCGGCAAAATGCTTACAACATGCATTTGACATTGTTCAGTTTCGCCTACGGTCACTGAAGTTGGTCTTAAATCCCAAGAAATCTAAGGTTATGGTATTTTCGCATTCACAGGAACTATCAACAGATACTCTGTCAATAACAACAGATCGGGGAGTGTTGATTGAGCTGGTTTCCAGCTATAAGTACTTAGGTTTTTTACTTGATTCTGAGTTGTCTTTTAAAACCCACATTGCTAATGTGGTTCGAAAATTACGGATGAAGATTGGATTCTTTTATCGTAATAAATCCTGCTTTTCCTTGCAGGCACGCAAATATTTAATATCAGCGACCTTTCTTCCCCTGTTGGATTATGGTGATGTACTGTATATGAATGCCTCAGCTAGATGTCTCCATTCTTTAAATGTGGTTTACCACAGTGCCTTGAGGTTTGTGACGGGTTGTAGTCGACTAACGCACCATTGCGACCTGTATGTTAAAGCACAGTGGTCGTCTCTGAGCATGCGAAGACATGTTCATTGGATGGTGCTAGTGTACAAGGCTTTGGTAGGCCTAGCTCCGGCATACTTATGCTCTCTTTTACGTAGATCGGATACCAAATATGCTTTACGGTCTTGTGATAAGTATCAGCTCATGGTGCCGAGAGTTCGGACCGAAAAAGGGAAACGGGCTTTTGGATTTGCCGCTCCCTCTTCGTGGAATAGTTTCCAAGCAGATTTTAAACTTACTGAATTATGCTCAGTTAAAGCTTTTTATTCTCTTATGGCTCTTAGGCAACAGGACTCTATTGGTCAGTGTATGTGTTTTTAAATTGGTTATATTGTTGATTATTGTATTTATGGTTTTGATTGTTTAAATGTTTAATGTTTTGATTTGTATTGAAACTTATGTATTGACGACATGTGTTGTTGACCTCTTGGCCAGGTCACCCTTGTAAAAGAGATCATGATCTCAATGGGTTTTTTACCTGGTTAAATAAATAAAGTGAAAAGTGAAGTGTTCAAAAGTAAAAACTGCATCACTTAAGGGAGTTTACAAGAACAGCCCACTGTCTGCATGCCAAAGCGATTTGTTGAACTGTATGAGAAAGAAACAAAATGAGAAAACAGAAGAAATAAGACACATGTAAGTTATAAAATATATTTATTTAATTTGTAAAACATCCATTTCCAAAATAGAATGACAACAACATGTACTCCTAGGATGGCCCCAACAGTTACCGGCATAAGGTATTATTTGCTAATTACAATCTTTCTGTAAATGGCTTTTATCTTTCAAGTTTAAGAACTGCTTTTACTGTAGGGCTGAAACCTGAGGTCCCCAAACTGAATAGAATTTCATATGTCTCTAGGTAATTAGTGTCCTATGTTGAGCCTGTCACCAGGGTGACATTATTATATAATCTCTTAGCAGGGCCCTGTCTTTCTTGGCATTGTGTATTAGCCATTATGGCATTGCCCATAAGGCGACTGTGCATTTTAAGCATTACTACTTGACAAACTGAGCTTTCTCTTACACATTACATTTCATTTTGAAAAGGAGGAGCATTCCCCTATATTTCTATATTAGAGCACCAAACAGAAAAACTTTTGGTTACAAAACATATTTAGGAATCACTTACTATTAATTTTGCATAAGTTGTCAGGCTAAAAGATTCACAGTAACAATAAAATCAGAAGAGACGATGACAAACACAAAATATTTGAAGACTAGTCTATAAAAACAGAGAATAAGCCACTGTCATGATATTCATTAGCTAGCACTAGCAGCAGTCTGTCCTCGTGTCCTTTTTTGTTGTACATTCAGTTCAAATCAATAAGCAGGTCAGTGCCTATAGGCATCATGTCTACATAAGAGTACATATGACGTGTGTGTGTGTGTGTGTGTGTGTGTGTGTGCGCCAGAGGCGGATTTTCTGAGTCAATCGGTCGTGATGGAGGCGGCTGCAGCGTTTCATTAAGCTGCTGTGATGCTGAGGGCTGGCAGTCAGTCAGAGATTATAGACAGACTACCAGTGGGAGTGTATGTGTCCTGTTTGTCATTTATCTGCACCTTACCCTTCTCACAGATGGTGATATAGTTTCATCCCCTCACCCCCTGCCTACTGCAACTAGCCTGCGCTTTAAGCTTCCTGCTGGCTTGAGAAAACCATGCTGACAGCAAATCATCTTTATTGTTCAGCCTTGTGCTGTTTATGAGTGATCCAAATATAACCAAGACACCTTAGTCTAATGTCCCTAAAACTGTGGCATCTAAAGCAAAATCCTGGTAAATGTGTCACAGCCACTGTGACTGGTTTGTCGAATATAATAAACTATAGCAAGGCGTTTTTGCTAGCTTATTCCACACAGTTAAGACTACTCAGCGCTGAAAGCAATGAACCTCGGGACTTTCATTTCTTCCTAAATTAAACAGAGATAGATATGTGGCTTTGTGGATCACTTCATTAGAAGGAACTCTGGGTTTCTGACTAAAGAGAGAAGGAAGGCAGGGGGCAGCAGAGCAGAAAATGTAGCAAAGGTCAGGGGGGTATTACTTGAAGGAAGCATGGACATGGCGACCCTTGAGTGGCTGGGGAGGGCGGTAGTTGTTGACCATGTAACATTCGTCCTCACCCTCAGCAGAGAAGAGCAGGCTGCGGAATTTGTCCATCTATGACAAGGGAGAAGACGTTGGTGGGGTTAGTCATCCCTGCTGACCTCCTGTAACTGTCACTCACAAGAGACAAACACGCATCTAGTTTTGCCACTGAGTCACTGGATTGATTTAAGAGCCTTGCACTGTGGAAATATACTTAGTTGTCTTATTGATGCTGAAATGGTAGGTTTAAGAGAAGATCAACACCACACGTGTGCACACTAAATATGTCATACAGTCATCAGCTATTTCTCTTAGCTTTAACGGCTGTCATGTGAAGTAAAACTGCAAGATGTTGTTTTTTTTAATAGATATATATAGTGAGTTTAGAGGTGCTAAAATGATCTGTTTGCCCTACTTAGAGTCTAAGCTCTTTACTGTAGCTCCATATTTAATGTACTGAGTAGTAACAATCTTCTGAAGGTTTGACAAGATAGCAGGTAAGGAATTTTCCAAAAATGCTGAACTAGTCTGTTAAGTCAGGCAGGACATGGAAAAGGTCAGTGGCTACAGGATCAGATAACTTTCTATAGGGATTGGTCATCAACTCTGTCTAATGAATTAGTCCATGGTGATTACACTGCTACAGACACTTGACTATAATCCACAGGGACTATTCAGCTAGTGGGTGCAGCCTCTCACAATTAGATGATGACAAATCATAACTAATGACATGTACAATATTACCATTAATGAATGACTTCTTTGTCATTATATGCTAGATCAGCCTTATATGGCATTAAGTCTAAAGGTTATATACACACAGCTCATGTGTTTACCCTTGAAACACCTACTTGGCACCAAGAAATAAACATTTGGTAGTGTTCATTTCCATGTGGCCTAAAGATTCCAACCACAAGGACAAACCAGACTAGGGAGGCTTGAAGTTAGGAGTCAAATTATACAGAAGTCCATTTCAGTGGGATGATTAAGTGTAAATTTAGAGGCAAATAGTTATACTTTGCAAATGCAGGTAGGATGCAGCAGTATAGTGTGCTTTCTTTATTTGAAATGACACACTCACTGAAGTTACAATTCTTCACCTAAAGAATGTGACGCATGTGTTGGACAAACATTTCCTGTTGACTTCCCTCTGACTAAAATAGAAAAAAATACAATGGCAAAGCAGCATCGCCGGGATCTGAATGAACTTTTGTTTGCTCTTTTTCTCCTGGTTGCCCAAGCATCTTTTCTGCATTTTGAATGTGAACTAGGCTGCTGTATTGCCGTTCCTTTGATTACAAAGGTTTCTTCTTCTTGTTTCAGCTGTGCAGCTATTCTGAACAATTAAGCCTTTGATTTAGATGAGAGAAAAAGAGAGGATTTTCAGATAGGACAATTCTAGACCCTTGGCACATAGCCAGTCCTTCTGCTACTGCTCAATGGATTCAGTGTTTAGTCTTACCTGCTCAGAGCTGACACTGATTGCCTGTTTGCAGACAATCCAGGTAACGCATTCCAGCAGAGGGGGTGTAGTCAGAGAGCCATTATAAGTCCAGTAGTCCAGTTGATCAGGGAGCAAAGTAGCAGGGTTGAAGTTTTCAAAAGAAGTTGTCTTGTCCTGAAGATAACACATGAAACAAGGATCAGATCAGTCAAATATCTTATCATAAATCAAATGCATGAAAATATGTCTTTTTTGGAAACATACTTTGCTCCTGATGGCATTAAAGGTGTCAAGAACCTTTTGGAGACTGGGGTTTTCATTCCCAATCTGAAAAACAACAACACATAATGTTGAAGGTTATATGATGATCAGAAAACAGAACTATCCACTGTAATAACGAAACTATACATTGTGATAAATGAAAGCAAGGTAAAGTATGTAAATTTGTTATATTGTTAATGCTGTGAAAAATGTTACCTGAATTGTTGTTACTGACCTGCAGGAAAACTCCCACAACAGCGAGTCCATTGTGGTGTTTAACAGCTTCATTGAAGCTGGAGTACTTGGTGTGCCAGTGCACCAGATGGAGCTGGAAAAAATCAAATAAAGAGAAATCACAGCCATTAAAAAATCATTTTATTTTATAATCCTTTTTCAAAACCATGGAAGCCATGCAATTTCTGATATGATAACATGGACCATGCAAAAATAAACTTGCAATTTATATTTAATGGTACATGTTGAACTGTGAAGCAGACAGGACAGACTCATTTGAAATATTTTTGTATGAGAAACACAATATTTTTCTCCAAAAATGTTTTTTGATGAAGGTCGGGACAAAAAATGCTGCAAGAAAACTAACTAAACACTTTGGAAACTTTTTATTAGAAATGTCTCCAAACAGCCAAACAGCCACATTTGCTTACAAACTGGAGTTTTACTTGTCTGACACTTCTCTGACATTGAATAGACTTATTTGTTGAGTTTATATTCAGGGAAAAAACTACAAATAACAAGAAAAAAATATTACTTTTTGAGTGGAAATTAACAAACTGGCAAACAGAATGTAAAGAATACTAACAGTCTGTTTGGGCCACACTTCAATCCCCGAATCAAATTGTTTTCTCTACCCATTAATCCAGCGACAGAGATTAGGTCTTACTCCTGAGAAATGTTAACATCCCATAATACAAATAAAATTAAAAACTCTGCACTTTCCTCCTTGCTACTGTATGCCAGCCTCCATCTGCCATCCACTTTCTCTCTGACTATTATGATCAATAATGGCTCAGAGCATCCTAACCTCAGCAGGATACTTGGTTCCAGCCACGGTATGCTCAGAGCCCCTGTCGTCAGCAGATCCCCAGTGGAAATGAAACTGCTTGAGTCTGTAGACGCCTGAGAGTGGTCCGCCTGTCAGAGCTGCAGAACAAACACATCCTTGTCAGTCCAACCTACACTGAAAGTGGGTAGCAGGCAGCCATGGTGCAGCTTTGATTACCGCCTGGAGCGTGCAACACTTTAATAAAATAATGCATCTTATGTGCAAGAAAATACTGCAAAATAAATACAATTCTGAGTAGCAAATATGAGAAGAAGGGACAAGTTAACAAGTTACAATGAATAAAATGCAAGTACACACACCACGTACACACTTGTATCACTACAGGACACTTCCTAGTTCACAGTCCCTTCTGTGTGGGCCCCGGTTAAACCAAGGGCTACTTTCAATCTGAATCTGACATGAGGTTCAGGTATTGTTAACAATAAACATCCATCCAATGTTACATAAAGTATCTATTTATAGTATACAAAGTAGAAGAAACAATACCAGTTAATCCTGTATGTTGTTCTATTTCTGGTGCAATGTTACCAAATGCTGTAACAAATACACATACTGCGCCCTTCAAACAGGATATTTATTTTTCAGTAGTCATCTCAGATGATAAGGAGCAAACTAATCCTGAAGTCACTTGCAGGTGTGTGGGACACCAAATATTCTAAGCATGGTGAGTGATATTCATCTGTCCACATGGCACATGATGCATGACAAAAACATGCAGACTGAATTCAGAAGGGCAGGGTAAAAAAAATATAAGTGAAATATAAAGGATGACTTGAAATACTTGTCTTACTCACATTCTTTTTTCCACGCCTTTTCTTTTTATATCCACTAAATTGTTTTAAAAAATCAGAAAAAGAACAACCAATCAAAACAATCAATCCAATAGACAAGTACAAAATCCTTAAAACCCTGAACATGAAAAAAATATATTAAGAATAAAATCAAATCTAAATGAAAATGCCATTTAACAATTTCCAGTACAAATCACTGCCTTATTTCATTATAGGGCACTTTTCACTAAATCCATGCCTGTTCAGCACTTGAATAGTTAACCAAGAGTCAGTTTATTTGCAGAGTAACCTTCAGTTTTTTTGGCTATTGACTTTCTGCCTGCAGAAAAGTGCTGGCGTGGGAAAGGTTTACTAGGGGTCACATTACCAATTCAATTAGTATCTGCAAGCTTCGTGAGTAGTTTTTGAACAGAACCCCTGCAGTCTACTCATTCAGCTCTTCCATCCCATAATGCATCATATAAAATGAAACTGTTTCATATGCCGAAACACCCATAGACACCACGGAAATGATAATATTTGCATAATCTTAACACGCTCCAAAGTCTTTAAACTGGAGACTATGTGAGCTGCGGTTCACACATGCAGCCACTAAACCAAAATGCCGCAGGTCACTGCATCCTATAAATCATCATCAGGAACGTGACTGTGAAAACATACAGTATGTTACTGCCCCACTATATTGCAATGATAAATATAGGTAAATATTTTGTTTTCTCAAGGTTGAAATGGAGCGTTGACATCAAGGTTGCACGGTGTTGCTGTTGTCATACATTATTATCATACTAACTTGATTTGTCGCTGTCATCTGCGAAGTTCACTTGGATGGAATGTCCGTTGTTGGTGATATTAAGGCTGGTGGACGGGTCGTACTTCAGCATGAGCGGCTTCAGCTTGGCGTCGTGTGGGGCTTTACCAGGTACGATGTCAATGGGAGACTGGCGGTGTCCATGGGCAATAGGGAAGTTATGTACCCATGAGTCGGGTCCTAAAATGATTTAAAGATAACATTGTGATCATTAGAATATTCATCTTGAAGTAGGGTATGTCATTCATTAAATACATTTCGTATGTGAGATGGCAATGCATAAAACGCACGTAAAAACCTCAAATGTGCAGAATCAAAAATCTCTTCACTGTCCTGTCATTCAGCACAGTCTGCTGCTATGAGTGGCTTTAGAGAGCGCCTTACCGTTGTTCGAGTCGTATCCCCAGTGGTGAGACATTATTTGAATCTATGGGTATTTAGAGCTGTAGCGAGTCTTCATCCACCGCAAAGCAGCCAGTGTCCCGCACCTGACAGCTTCACACTTTATATAGAATCCCAGTGCTGTATATCTGTCATGCTGGTGCTGGCCACATGACTCTCTCTCTCTCTCTCTCTCCCCTTCTCTCCCTATCTTTCTCCCTATCTGTGTGTGTGTGTGTGTGTCTGCGGTGATAAAGTCTTCATTGGCAAGAGATGTGCTGCATATTTCTCGACAAACGTGCTGGGTGGCTATGGCTAAGGAGGTAGAGCGGGTCGTGAGAGTGAGATCGTTTGTGCGCTCGCTTTTAACAACTGTGTATATTCATCAGTTGGCCTAATAGAAATGAACAGAATCATTATAGAATACAAGAAAACAAGAAACATTAAAGCTGCTTATCATGACCTCTCAGGAACAGAGTGTTCTTTTCTCAAGGGTGGTCTGTGATGCTGAGGAAGCAGTCAGGAAGCTTCAGGAAAGACGCAAAAAAAGGGGAAGGCTATCCCTAAATTTATGTAGTTTTAGTTTTTTATGTTTCGTCGGAAACAAAACTGGCGGAATGGGCAGGAGAGTCGTCTGGTTGGTTCATGTACACCTCAGCAACGCATATAACATCACCTGAATGTCTTTGGACATGTTTGGTCTATAGTGACAGAAGAAACAGGCCAAAACCCAGTAGGGCACTCAGATTATTTCCTTAGCCTAAGGGAAAGTACAAAAAAAAAGTTAGCATCAAAATATAGCCCTCTTAAAACACCAAAAGTAATGATTATGGAAAATTTCCCAGTATATCATATTACTGAATTTCTGTGTACATCACATTTAATGTTGGGCTATATGCTAATTTGAATTACTTCTGAGTATCTTGTGAGTTCTCACCAAGGATGAATACAGTTTTATGGTTGTATCTTATTTTGTTTTAGTAATCTGATTTTGAAAAGCAACTAAGCTGGTCAAATACATGCAGTAATAAAAACTACAATCTTTGCTTCTAAAATGGAATGAACTAGCCTATTAAGTAGCAGAAAATGAAAATACTCAAGTAAAGTAGGCTACAGATGCATAAAAACAGTAAGTATAGTGCTTGAATAGCCTAAATGTATTTATATTTTACACCACTGCCAAAACCAACACTAAACTTCCTGAGTGTGAAAAACATTAACCATATTCATCATTTCTGCTGTGTAGATACACTGTGCATGTGAAATACAATTCAACAGTTACCACCACTAAAACAGTGTTTGCATTTGACGGGGTGTGGTTTTAGCAAATGGTTTTAGCAAATTGCAGGCGTGCCTCTAAAATACAGAAAAAGTTAAACCCAATGACTCTTCCCCAGTTGGTGTTTGACTGCATCCTAGCGGCCAATTCAGCTCAGTGCACCATGAGCTTTGCTCAGTTGTCAAGAAATGTCCAGGCTGTAATACTGCAAAAAGGCTACTCTTTTTCTTTCTGCGCATTTTAGATAGGTACAACCACGACCAGTGGAAACAAACATGTATTTTAATTCCATCCATTGAAATTCTATTAAAATATTTTGAGTGTATTTTCATTGGGTAATTGACACAAAATGTGTAGTGGCATTTTTCTCCATCATTACAGAGAGAAAAAAGATAAAGTAGGTCATGAGCTAAACATTTGTGTAATTTAGATTTTAGAAATCTAAACCGGAAGTGTTGTTTTCGTTTTGATTTCCATTATTACATCCATGGATTTGCCCTGTCACTTTATGGCGCCTCTCGTCTCCGAAAAAAAAAAACCCCAAAAAGATTTAGCTTTGATCCTGCGAATACAAATTTATAACAAATTAAGATAATTCCTCTAATAATCTAAAAAAGCAAACAAACGGTGAGCTTCAACACTGTGTCCTTCATAGTTTATAAATTTTCAAGACTAAGCAATTCCATTTCCGCCACGACCTCTTTCAAAGTAATGTCTCTTATCGCGCTCGTTGCAGACTGGGTCGGTCTGAAAAGGCGCAGCAAAGACTTGTCAGCATCCTAAATGATAGTAATAATATGCTATTCCCTTTAGCATAGTTTGTCCGCCTAATACCTAAGAGTGAACCAACAAACACTAGATTAGGCCATGAATATATTAGTGGAGTTGGACGCATATATGTGACGTCATTTGTCGCATGGAAATGACGTGACTGAGCAGCACGTTTGTTGTGCATGAGTACTGTATATCAACACCAAGCAGGCACGTCGTTTACAAGGTCGATTTTAAGGTATTGTTACAGTCAGCATTTTAAGTACAATACGATTTTAATTAAATAGGAATACGCACAATTTAAGAGTCATTTATATGAGGCTGCAACGTTTTATTATTGCTTAATCTCCTGATTAATTGTAAGAAAACAGTGAAAAGTCATGTTGTACCATCATAAGGTGACTTTTTTTTGTCTGACCACAACATTTGCTGTCATTTGACTAATAAGTCATTTAACTAATCATTGTGGCTATATTTATGTATTCTCTAGTAATGCATTGCAGATACTTATATCCGTGTACATTTAGCTAATTGTTATTTTCCATTTAGGATATTTCAAGAAAGTATCTGTTGAATAATTAAACAATAAACTGTATGGTTATCTGACTGCTGTCCCTATGCTTATTTTCAGAATATTAATATGTTAACATCATTTTGTCATGTTTTTTTTTTTTTATATATGTGGCCAGTTTTATTTAATGTAACACATCTTACGTCTTTATTACTACTACTGTTACGTATACTAGCAAGGGAATAACAAAGACCACAATATAGAACTTAAAATTCTCCCATGATTATATCTATACTGATTGGTGTTCTCTCTCCAGGTAACATGGCGAAGAATAAACAAAAAGGAAAAAAACAGAAGAATGTTTTTCAAGTGGCTAACAAACACCCGAAACACAAGAACAAGGCGAAACCTGTCACAACCACACTCAAACATGTAATACCTCCTTCCTGTTCTTTTCCTTTACATATACTTTGTGTTCTCTCTTGTATATAGCATTTGTTGCACCTGCTCTAGTATAATTTGTGATTTCACAGATCAATGCAGTGAAAAATGAGAAGGTGGAGAACCTCAATCAAATCTTCACAGAAGTCCAGCGGGATGTTAAGAGTGTTTCAAAATCTGTTGCTCCTGAACCAAAGAAACAAACACAGCAAACACAGGTAAAGGTGGAAATTGTGCACATTTAAAACTTATAATTAATCAATCTAACATATAATTAATTATAATTATTTATCTTTTTAGGTTGTCAGACAGCCAGTGAAGGAATCTGTAAGTGTTGAAAACACTGCTCATCTTCTCTCTCAGCTATAGCAGACCAAGAATGAAACACATGAACACTGATGGCAGACAACATGAACCACTCCTCACTGCTCATGCTTAATGTTTAAAATAAAGTCTCAGAGGATCTGTCAGTTCACTTCAATACATTTTGACATTTCATGCCAAATACCAACTGCAGAGAAGCTAGTTAGAAGAGGCTGTGTGTCATAAAACATCCTGTACATTCATTGCAAAGAAATGTAATAATATATGGCTTGTGCATTGTCAACAGTGAGATATATTTTAATTGATGGATATTCCTTTCTGCCTTTTACTTCCTTACTTTGTTTTGGTTATAAACGATGAAAAAATTGTGATAAATGCCTGATATGTTTTGCTGGACCCCAAAATTATGTCATCATATATTGCTTTTTTTTTTAAACAACAAAAAAAAAGTCACTTTCGGCTTTACCCGTTTAGGGGTCGCCACAGCGAATTGTCACACTGACAACTTGCATGTTGACATTTGGCACGTGTTTTATGCCAGATGCCCTTCCTGACGCAACCTGGATTTGAACCCAGGGTGCCGCGGCGAGAGCGCTGCGCCTTAACCAAACAACAAAAGACCAAAAATGCATAACATTTCACATATAAAACAAAAACAGCAGAAAAACCTCACATTTGAGCACCTGGAACGAGTGAGTGTTTGGCAGTTGTTAGTGGCCTTTCTGTTGATTGATAGTCAGATGACTAATTGTTTTAGCTCTTATTAAACATAAAAATAGGTGTTGAATCTGTATTCAATTATAGGCAGCCTATATAGGTTATATCTAAAAAAAAAAAAGCACATTCAAAAGAATTACCTAGTCATGTGCACTTGATCATACCCTTTGAGTTTTGTTTTTGCTATAGGCAGCTTAAGGTTTTCATACCATATTGTTTTCAGTCCACAGTTTGTGTCATTGCTCCATATTGTCAGTTTTTTTTCTAATATTTCATCCACCTTCATATGTACAAGCTCTATTTTGGGGCTTCACGCTGTCATTTCTATTACAAGTGCAACCAGAAGATTTTTCAGCTCCACCTGCGAGCAGCTGGCCTTGTTCAATATGCTGCTGCTACATCCTGCTCTAGCAGCTAGACAACAGAGGTCATAGGTGTACCGGTGCCCAGCTGTTGTTTGTCTCCACTGTGACCTCTGACGGTTAGTCAATAAATCTGGAGCAAGGTTAAATCATGAATGCGGTTGGTAAACAAACCAGTGCTTGACTGTGTTGACATTAATAAGCCAGGAATGAGATTTTTAGGGTGAAGATGTTTATCATGACAAAAATGTTTGCTTGAAGGGCATATTTATTTATTTTATTTCTATTTTGTTTTAGATCTATTTTAATATCCAGTGCAGAGAGCTTAAACCTCCAACAGCAGATGTTTTTGCCCATATGGTGGCAGCAAAAACAAGCTGGAAACACATCCGTTATCTATACTACTTATTTGCTTAGAGGGTGACACTAACATATAGAGACATACAGCCATTCACTCCTGCTGATAATTTAGAGTCACTAATTAGTCAAACCTGCATGTCAGGACTGTCGGGGGAAGCTGGAGAACACAGAGGCCCTGGCCAGGCTCCAGCTTCCTCCCACAGTCCAAAGACATGCAGCTTAGATTGATTGGCGATGTGTGTGTGGTTGTTTGTCTACGTGTCAGCCCTGTGATAGGGTGTACCCTGCCTCTCGCCCAATGTCAGCTGGAATAGGCTCCAGCTGCAGTGATAGATCCCTAGGACATAGATAATGAAATACAGAATGTGGGAAACAGTAAACAGCTGTTGTACTTGTTAACCTAGAAATTAAAAGAGTGCGTTGTCTCACTGATAGGCTGTCATTTAGCTAGTTAGCAGCTGAATCCATCTGTCATGACATGCACAGTATGCAAACAAACTGGAAACATCACTGATAAACTTTGCAATGATTTACAAATTTAATAAAATTGCTACTCACCATATAATTTGTAAGATGCAGGTGGATGAAGAAAAGAACCAATCCAGCTTCACATGTGTAGTTCAGGTGAATTAGCCCTTCCCATGATTAAAAAAATACTGTAGGATACTGTAACATAAGAGTCTTTGGACATTTGATTAGCAGTAAAGTGCTGTAATTTAGGAAAACCTCATAGCTCTGCTAAAAAAATGTGCAACATTAGCATTAAATTAAAGTCTTGTTTGTGTTTGGTGTGGTGAATTTAATGCCAGTATTAACTCTTTAGTTTATTTTTAATAATTTTCAAGTTGCTAACTGTCTGTGATTTAATACTGAGCAGGTCATAAAGTTGAGGTGACTCTCTTTTGGTTCATCACTATGAGCAGCCTTTTTTTTACATTGTCATTTTGTACTTTGTTAATATAAAAATTTCATTTGGAGCATCTTCAAAAGTACAAATGTACAACTTGAAGCAGGATGCTGATGAAAAAGAGGTGCAAACTCTTTTGAAGAAAAGTTCCAAAATACAAGCATAATCACAGTAGGTCTTAACAAATAAGACTTTTTTCCTGATATCCATCACACCCCCACCTTTGTGGCAGAAATGTGTATTTCTACAGCAGAGGAAATTATACTAATACTGGAACTATAGGGGATGCAGCAGATGCAGTGTTAAAGTATCAGACTGTGAGCAGGTGCTTCCCAGTGTAATCCAGATGGCTGCACCACAGCCCAGGCAGTGGGGCTGCATCAGCACACACCCTGGGGAGACAGATATTATGCCAGCGTGCGCACACACACACACACACACAAATTGAATTTTGAATGTAATCTATATGAGCTGGTAGGGGGTAGTTGCATGTGTGGGCGATGACGCATGAATGTGTTTGCATGTCTGTAGTCATTTTTGTTGCGACTAGTCAGGCAAAAATCACTACGTATCTTCTGCCTGTTGCTTTACAACTTATTTCTATGATCCAACTTAAGATAAGATGGGGTATAGGGATCACACCAATGGAGCTTTCATACAGTCTAAATTGTTAAAATTTTTCGATTTAGTGGGATATAAGACTGCTGTGTTTATGTATAAAGCCAGGAACAATTTATTACCTGGTGGAATTCAAAAACTATTTAATGAAAGGGAAGGAGGATACAATTTAAGGGGTCACTTAAATTTAGAAATTCATGCTATACGTACAACCAAAAAAAAGATTCTTTGTTTCCATAAGTGGGGTAAAACTATGGAATAATTTAAGTGTGGACATAAAAAATAGTAATAGAACTGATGAGTTTAAACATAAATATAAAGGTATGTGTCAATCAAGATATATGCAAGAACAGGCTTAATGATTAAATAGATGGAACATTGTGGGTGTGGTGTATGAATGTTAACACTCTGTAATAATTCTTTAGTATATTACTTGTGTGGTGTAGAAGATAATTATTTAAGAATGTAATTATGTAAGAATGTTAACATTCTGTTATAATTTTTTTAGTATATTACTTGTGTGGTGTAGAAGAGAATTATTTATGTAGAGATACTGCTTGCAAACCAATGATGGTAAGATGATGTCATGGGGTAGGACTGGATAAGTCTGACTTCTTCCTACTCCATTCAAGCATGTTCTAGGTATAAGCAAATTGATATTGGATTAGCATTTGTTGGATATGTGTAAAATTATGTGTTGACATATCAACTGTCTTTACATACTTGAAAGAATAAATCAAATCAAATCAAATCAACTTCAAATTTCAAACCATATAACCATGTGAGAAGTCGGCTCACTGCCTCACTAAAGCCGATTAGCCAGTTACCTAATTGAATGTAATCAAAGCTGACATCTTATAAAACCACCAGGGTTGAAAATGTCCACAAGATGGTGCTCTGGATGGGGTTATCAATATGCATAGTGACAAGCAGGAAAGTGTGTTTGTGTTAGTGTGAACGCATGCACACACACCTGGCATTAGTGACATTGTGGGGACTTGGCCAGTAATTCCTAGTCAAGAATTTTAGAATGACAACTAAGGTTAGGGTGTACATACAGTATGTGTGTGTGTGTGTGTGTGTGTGTGTGTGTACATGTCTTTAATTACATTATATGAAACCCCCTTTATTATGCCATTGTTGTGAGGGGATTTTGGTGTTCTGAGAACATTTTACATTTTAGGGTATAGAGAATATATTGTCTGTGAGTGTCCTCCCAGCTATAGTAAGACAGAACTGTGTGTTTGTGTTTGCTTGTGTGTTGGAGACACAGAAAGAGAGAAGTGTTTGGCTCGCTGAATGCCAATAAGAAGCTGAAGGCCTATTTGCTGTATGTCATTCCCAATGCACAGCTGGGTTTTTCACTAACAGGACAAGCAGCAAAAGGTTACAGCACCTGCACTTTTCCCTGTGACAGAAATGAGAATTATTGTTTGTCAGTGCAAGACAAAAGACACACAGCACTGTGTGTATGTGTGTTTGCCTATGCAGATTCACCTTTCACAGCCATTTCAGATCACAGCAGTTGTCACAGCCCAGACATCAGTGTTCTCTGAAGCTGATGGTGATAAACCCTTTTCTTAATTTCATCCCATTCCACTTTTTTGAATAAAAATGAATTCATAAAGGAAGGTGTAAAGGGCATACATTATCAGCTCTAATGTCCAAATGAAATATGCTTTTTAAATTATGCTTTTTTGACAGCTTGGTCTTACTTGCTGGATTGAAAGAGAAAAAAGGAGATGCAGTTAAGTAGTTTCAAAGGTTAAGATGTCATTGAAATTAAATTAGTAGTCATGATAAAAATGTGAAAACAAATCGTCTTGACCTGGCTATCAATGTCTCAATGTGATTTGATTTGATTTGATTTATTCTTTTATTTCAAGCATGTAAAGACAGTTGATATGTCAACACACATAATTTTACACATATCCAACAAATGCTAATCCAATATCAATTTGCTTATACCTAGAACATGCTTGAATGGAGTAGGAAGAAGTCAGACTTATCCAGTCCTACCCCATGACATCATCTTACCATCATTGGTTTGCAAGCAGTATCTCTACATAAATAATTCTCTTCTACACCACACAAGTAATATACTAAAGAATTAT